CTAGTCGAATACGTAGACTTCTACAGGGCCTTCTAAGTAATGCGCGCCGGGTATAATTCAAACCTCTGCCCCCATCGGTACCATTACCCCTAAAGCAAATCGTCTCCAGGAGACGAAATACATCGAGAAGCCATCCAGGGAGAGGAACGCCAAGGTCACGAAGCTTGATTGATGAGCGCAGAGTGCAAAGGAGGCTTAGTTCTTGCTCAGAAGCTGATTGAGATTCCAAGATGGTGCGCTGATGAGTATCGTAAGCTCCAGCCTCGAATCTCCATTACTTTTGCAGTCTAGTTTGCAGAACGAGCAACTGAAGGTAGTACTTTAATGATTGCCGCTCACAATCGGATACCAGTACCCCGGACCCCATGAGCGAGCTAGTTGACAACGGGAGAGTTGATAAGCCCAGCAGCTAACTCAGTCTTCCTGTCTACAGGTAACTCCTGCTCTCTGTTTTCAAAGAGCACCCCAAAGACGACAAAACCCGTTTACACGATCGCCGCCCACAATCGGATACCCCGGGCCCCATGAGCTACTTGACAATGGGAGGGTTGATGAGCCCTGAAAACAACTTAGTGTACCTGTCTAACAAAGTCCTGCTCTCTGTTTTCAAAGAGCGCCCCAAAGACGACACTACCGTACAACATGCACGATAACATTCGCGAAAAGATCCCGGTTCATCAAGCATGATACAGCTTGATACGATGTCTTTGGGCAGGTAACACGCCAACGAAAGAACTGTATCGGTCATGAATTCAAGGCTGAGTTCCACGCTACACGGATGACTGTTACCGTACTGTACGTTAGGTACCTACCACAGAGCTGGCGAGGAAGCCAAACTTCTAATTCTTGAATGCCTGGTGCTTCCTTTCGTGGTCAACCAGTGCCGGGTGTTTAGAGGTGGGCACAATTAATTGTCTGTACAGTCGTACCGGTACCCGGGTGAAACGAGTTTATGTACGATTCGATTCCCATTTCCCATTCCCAAGGTAGACCTTTTTCATTCTTAAATCTTCGTTCCCCACGTTTGGGTCAATGCCTCCATCATGCCTGCCTCCACTATTCTCTGGTTTTCCTTGTCAATCGTTGTTTGATTGCCACCCAACCTCGACCCACTCATCACTCTTCACTCATCACTCTTCACTTTATCAACAACAATCAACGTCAACAAACAATCATACCCAACACTCATCAAGAACCAACCATGACAGTACTCATCAGGGACACCGAGGCCGTCGCCATGTTGTCTCGCATGCCAGGAGCAGATGGATACTGTCGGAAGTTTGATGAGTTGTACCACATCGAAGAACGACTGCATTCTGGCGCTTATGGTACAGTCTACCGCGTGACTGATCGGCAGCATTCCAACAAGGAACTCGCCACAAAGGTCATCAAGCGCTCCAAGCTTTCATCAAAGCAAGAGTCTGACATCCTCTCGGAAGTGAATGTAATGAAAGACCTTGCCGGAGTCGAAAATGTTGTGCAAGTCGTCGACTTCTTTGCGGAAGAAGACGCCTTTTACATTGTCCAACAATTAGCCAGAGGCGGTGACCTCTTTGAGAAAGTCGTCAATGGATATCAATACAGCGAACACAATGCTCGTACCGTTGCATTGAAGTTGCTCCAGACTCTGCGAAAACTTCACGACAGAGGAGTGGTTCACCGTGACTTGAAACCAGAGAACCTGTTGCTCTCCAGTTCACACGACAACACATCCGTCCAGCTAGCCGACTTTGGGTTTGCCACTTATCTTCCCGAAGGAGGATACTTGGATCGCCGCTGCGGCACTCCCTGCTATACTAGCCCTGAGGTGTGGCAGAAGAAACCCTACAATACACAGGCAGACATGTGGTCTCTTGGGAATGTCCTCTATATGCTCATTGATGGGCGACCACCATTCTACTCCAAGGACACCGTGGAAGCTGGCAAGCTTGTTTGCAAGGGTAGTGTCAAGTTTGAAGGGAAGCAATGGGATGGGATCAGTGATGCTGCCAAACAGTGCATTCGTGGTTTGCTCACAGTCGACCCAACCCAGCGTTGGACAGCTGAAAAAGCCTTACAATCCTCTTGGATTCAAAGCGGCCTGACAGATGCCCTCTTTGAGAATCTGGACTGGCCTTGGATGCCCAGCTGCTCTCAACATGAAGACGTGGGTAACTCTTATGTCTTCGTCACCTTGAACCTTGGCTGAAATGGAACTAATGACGAAGCCTCCCACGGAAATAAGCCGCCATGATCCTCTGTCTGCCATCCTTGTCGTGTCTTATCTTTATCCC